ATCCAATGTATAAATAGGGACTTGGCCTTTTGAAAAAAGCTCTAGTGTACTTAGGCTCTAATACAAGAACAGGTTTGAAGGCCTCTGGCATTTGTGATATGGGTCCAACTTTTGCAAAGTCAGATATAAAAGCTATGGAAATTAATGCATTCCACAATTGTCCTCTATCAATCACAAACTTATTGTTATTACACATTCAATCATGCATGAAATCAGATTGAATTATTGTTGTGACCACCATTATGAATGAGAAGCAAATGATATGACTGGTCAAGAGTTGTTCAGTTAATAGCATGAAAATAATTTCACTGTTTATGGATGTTAGATGGACAATTAACATGTAACCAATTTGGAGTCTGTATTATTTCATCTTAGTAATTTGTCTATACAAGTATGAACACACTAGATGTCGGCAGGATACCTAACTCCTTATGTCAGCTTCCATCTTGATCTTACATCTTATGGCTCCAACTATTCTCTTGAATGTATCATCCGCACACAAGATCCCCTTGAACTTTCTGAAAGAGAGATCTGATATACCATCAGGAAAATATCTTGGCAGACTTGTCGACCTCAATCCCAACAAGTCCAGAAGCGTTGGATTGAATTTCCATAAATTTTTGTCCAGTTGCTGCTATATATATTCCAAGGAAAGGCTCTAGTGTTTTGGTATCTGCTTTCATTCTTGTAATACTAGAATCTACATGACTGCGGCCGAGAATAATTGTCTTACTGAAATTCATGAATCCTGATAAGCAAACAACAAAATTTTCAACTGGCAATATGCAGGCTTTGGAATCTACAAGTATATTAACAGACATGATTGTTTCATTGCTAATGTTAGTGTTCAAGCTTCAGCTCTACTGAATTAGGAACTGAGCTTTACATTAGTTTACAGAGATTGTCAATCTTCCATTGGGAGTGATACCTGCTTGCTTGGTTATTTAGCAAAGACATCAAAAATATAAATCCTTCATTCTATCACTACAGCTGCCTCTATATCTTCTCCACTTTCTTGCATTCCCATTAACCACTGAAGCAGAAGCAGTTGCTGCTTTGCCCTCTTGATCTTGTAAGAAACTTCAAGAGCTTGAAGATCCATCCTCCATGTGGGCTTATTCATCTTGCTTGAAGACTGGTTAGTTGATACTAACTTGTCAACATCATCGACCTCCACGGACTTGCATCTTCCTTCTAAATTGGACTCCGGTTAGAAACTTCTCTCTTTTTCAAACTCCCTTTCAAGAGATTGGACCATCAATTTGACATGTTTGCTCTGGTTGCAAGATGATGTGTCCTCTTCCTTTTCGGGCTGCACCTCTTGAGAGACGTCTGAAGAGAATTTGTTTTTGTTTTGTGCTCCTTGACTGGCTTTCTCTTCATACTCTTGCCTTTGGACCAGACAGCATCATGAGAAACCAATGCCAGATCATTAAGAGATGAAGATAACAATTTTCTGTTCTGACAAATAGGTTTTGACTGTGATTCAAACTGCTCCTTCAGAGAATTCAACTACTCTTCTTGGTCCAGCAGCAAGCTTCCAATTTCATATTGTCATCACTGAGCTGTGATATATCCTGGTTTGGTCCTTCAACATGGGATTGTTGCAGCTTTGATTCTAATTCCTTGCTCAGAAGCTGCCAATGGAAAGCCTCTCACTTTTCCTCCTTCATTCTCATTTGTTCAGAAAGAGCATCAAGTTCCAAGTGATGCTTCTTCTCAATTACAGCAGCATTCTTTTCTAATTCCAACCAAACCCGACCATTTGACATCATCGACCATCACTTCTAACACAACAATAGTAGAGGAAACAAAATACACAAGAAAATGAGATCTAGAACAGACATCATAAATGCTCTTGAGCATTAAAAATGTATCTTATATATATATTACGAAACTTAATGAAATGCATTTTTTTCTTCAACCTGTCTAAGAGCACGCCCTAACTCAGCCTCAAGTTTCCCTTGATTTGATACAAGCTCATTGAAGGCGGTTTTGTGCTTCCAAAGCTCTGTAGAATGCTCCTGAGCTTCCTGCTATGCATTTTCCCTCAATTCTGTTGGGAAAAATGGGGTGTCACCTAAGCACAGCGTGGAAACAAAAACAATACCAAAATCTTTCCCATTCTATTTGAAATTATTAGGAGCAAATTCAATTGAGTCCAAATAAAATACCCCTAAACACAGCAAAACAAAAACAAAATCAAAATATTTCCCATTTTATTTGAAACTATCAGGAGCAAATTAAATTGAGTCCAAATAAAATAAGGATAGCAACTAAAATATGCAAAATAGTAAATATGATTAATACAAAATAATCATCACAAAAGATACAATACTTTTATGTAAAAAATCTCAAAAATGAGTAAAAATAATAAAAATCACGAGACATTCAATTAATTGAAAATAACTCTACTATAATTAAATAGGGTGTACAATATCTTCTTTTAAAATGGAACAAAAACACTACCAAATAAAAAAATAATAGGTCACAAACTAATTAAAAAAATAAGACTACAAAGAGAAAACATAAAATATAACTACTGTTGTAAGTACAAAATTAAAACCTTTAAAGATTCAAACAAAAACTAATCATTTAAAATATAAACCCATATGCCGTGAACACCTAAATAAAATTTCGGCTCAATCAAATGATAAACTTTTGCAGATGAGATAAAATTGCAAAACTGTATCAAATCTCTTGTGCTTTCTTCTCCTTTCTGCCAGCTAGCTCCACTCACGTGCTCTCCACTTTTCTGCTGTCCAAGTCAGACTTTTTTCTTTGTCTTAAAAGGGTTGCAAAATATGGCTTCAAGTGGGCTTAACAAGTGTGGGCTTAGTCCAAATATTTGGCCATTTCACCACATACGAGGGATAGGCCTCACCCAACAAATTCCTCAGCAGCACTTTCAGACTTTTATCAGCTAATTTTCTTCAAAATACTTCTTCCTCTTCTCTGCTTCCTCAATTACCTTGTCCTTAGAATGAACCAAGAGCTCCATTTCCTAATATTTCTCATCCAATTCAGTAATAGATTCATCTTTGTTCCTCTCAAGCAATTCTCAGTTCATTTTTAAGAGCTCCAATTTGCTGCCTTCGCTTTCTTGTATTCAACCAACTCTGTTCTTGAGGTGCAAAGATGCCAACAACTTTCTCATTTGCTTTAGCACTTTGGCGTCTCCTTTCCTTTAACTATTCAATCTCTTTTTCAGTGGCCTCTAGCTTTTGGAGAAGCTGACACTTTGGCCCACTTGCTTCTCTCTGAATTCTCCATACAAGCAATCCCAAAAGTGGAGCACTTTCTTGAAGAATTTTATCACATAATTCAAACCATTTCTCATCTTCTTTCTCAGGTCCTGTCATGAGTCTTGATAGTGAAAAAGGCACAAGAAATGCCAAAATACGTTGGATACAAAGTATGGTGCTTCTCTTGAGAGACAATCAGACATAAACCGAGAGTCCCTATTCACATCCATTTACTCAGAAACTTGATTCTTCACCTATAGAGGAGACAGGTGGGAATAAAAAGTGAAAACCAGTCTGGAAGAAGAAACTAGAAAGATAAACAAGACAACTCAAAACTCCATACGTTCTATCACAAGTATGCCACAATTTGCCTATTCCATTCAATGTGGAAATAAATTCCATGATACTCTCCAGAAGCAAAATTCAAGCCACTGTAGTTCAATAATTTTACGCACAAAAGAATTCCTAAAGGCAAAGAAATGCTTAGTAGTTAAGCACAAAGAAATCGAGATTATGAAATTATGTAATTCAATAAGTAGGGTGTTGCAAAAAATAATTCACCTTAAGTTTTTCTTACTTACAAAATAATTTAAAATTTGTAATTGGTAATTAATAATAAGGGAAAAAAGGGCAAACAAAGGCAAAAAAACTAAAATTACACTAAAAATCTGTTTTTAAATATATCAAAGTTGGAATAATTTTAGTAAAGTGTCAATTTATATGCTAATCTCAAAAACTTAGCCAAAAAAAAAAATGATCTTGGGACATAAATAGCAATGGCCGAACTAGTGAAGTCAAAGGGAAAAAGGAGAAGAAAGAAGAAGAAGGAAGAAGAAAAGGTAACAATACAACAAACATTGGTAAATGGGTTGAATTTAAACGATTGCTGAAAATTCAAATATGTTTTGGGCAAACTGTACATTTACTGGGGGGTATGTAATGTTGTATTATGAAAAATACCTGCTAAAAATTACTTCAAATATTTCATCTTATTTACTGTCATGGCTTGCATTGTTACATTAAAAATATTGACGATATAAAAAATTTAACTATTACCACTATAACATATTTAGGTAGAACAACTTTTACCCTTGTGGTTTACGTTAATGCTATCTATTTTTAGCATTTTTAGCAACATGCTTTGCATTGCTAGTTAAAAAAAATTGGTGACATTAAAAAGTTAAATATTTTAAAATCATCAATGTGTAACCTCTTATTAGGTGTAAACTTTTTAAATTTATTGATTAGAAACATACATCACATTACTTAAAAGTAAATATCACTCACTTAGAAAATGTTACAAATATAATGAAAACTGAGAGTTAAATGGTGTCATTGAATAAATGGTTGGAAAAGTATAC